TACTACCTTCCTGTACAGCAACCATACAGAGAGGTACTACCTTCCTGTACAGCAACCATACAGGAGAGGTACTACTTCCTGTACAGCAACAACAGAGAGGTATACCTTCCGTACAGCACCATAAGAGAGGTACTACCTTCCTGTACACACCATACAGAGAGGTACTACCTTCTGTACAACAGACCATACAGGAGGTACTACCTCCTGTACAGACAACAATACAGGGAGGTACTACCTTCCTGTACAGCAACCATACAGAGAGGTACTACCTTCCTGTACAGCAACCATACAGGGAGGTACTACCTTCCTGTACAGCAACCATACAGGGAGGTACTACCTTCCTGTACAGCAACCATACAGGGAGGTACTACCTCCTGTACAGCAACCATACAGGGAGGTACTACCTCCTGTACAGCACCATACAGGGAGGTACTACCTTTGTACAGCACATAAGGGAGGTACTACCTCCTGTACAGCAACCTACAGGGAGGTACTACCTTCCTGTACAGCAACCATACAGGGAGGTACTACCTTCCTGTACAGCAACCATACAGGGAGGTACTACCTTCCTGTACAGCAACCATACTGGGAGGTACTACCCTCCTGTACAGCAACCATACTGGGAGGTACTACCTTCCTGTACAGCAACCATACTGGGAGGTACTACCTTCCTGTACAGCAAACCATACATGGGAGGTACTACCTCCTGTACAGCAACCATACTGGGAGGTACTACCTCCTGTACAGCAACCATACTGGGAGGTACTACCTCCTGTACAGCAACCATACTGAGGGAGGTACTACCTTCCTGTACAGCACCATACGGGAGGTACTACCTTCCTGTAAAAGCAACCATACTGGAGGTACTACCCTCCTGTACAGCAACCATACAGGGAGGTACTACCTTCCTGTACAGCAACCATACTGGGAGGTACTACCTTCCTGTACAGCAACCATACTGGGAGGTACTACCTTCCTGTACAGCAACCATACTGGGAGGTACTACCCTCCTGTACAGCAACCATACAGGGAGGTACTACCTTCCTGTACAGCAACCATACTGGAGAGGTACTACCTTCTGTACAGCAACCATACTGGGAGGTTACTACCTCCTGTACAGCAACCATACTGGAGGTACTACCTTCCTGTACAGCAACCATACTGGGAGGTACTACCTTCCTGTACAGCAACCATACAGGAGGTACTACCTTCCTGTACAGCAACCATACTGGGAGGTACTACCTTCCTGTACAGCAACCATACGGGAGGTACTACCTCCTGTACACAACCATACTGGGAGGTACTACCTCCTGTACAGCAACATACTGGGAGTACTACCTTCCTGTACAGCAACCATACAGGGAGGTACTACCTTCCTGTACAGCAACCATACAGGGAGGTACTACCTTCCTGTACAGCAACCATACTGGGAGGTACTACCTCCGTACAGCAACCATACTGGGAGGTACTACCTTTGTACAGCAACCATACAGGGAGGTACTACCTTCCTGTACAGCAACCATACAGGGAGGTACTACCTTCCTGTACAGCAACCATACAGGGAGGTACTACCTTCCTGTACAGCAACCATACAGGGAGGTACTACCTTCCTGTACAGCAACCATACAGGGAGGTACTACCCTCCTGTACAGCGACCATACAGGGAGGTACTACCTTCCTGTACAGCGACCATACAGGGAGGTACTACCCTCCTGTACAGCAACCATACAGAGAGGTACTACCCTCCTGTACAGCAACCATACAGGGAGGTACTACCTTCCTGTACAGCAACCATACAGGGAGGTACTACCTTCCTGTACAGCAACCATACAGGGAGGTACTACCTTCCTGTACAGCAACCATACAGAGAGGTACTACCTTCCTGTACAGCAACCATACAGAGAGGTACTACCTTCCTGTACAGCAACCATACAGGGAGGTACTACCTTCCTGTACAGCAACCATACTGGGAGGTACTACCTTCCTGTACAGCGACCATACTGGGAGGTACTACCCTCCTGTACAGCAACCATACAGGGAGGTACTACCTTCCTGTACAGCGAAGGTGAAAAGGAAACCTGTGAATTATTTTCACTGTGAGGATTGATATTTTTGTTTTTCCATTAAGATAAGTAAATATTTGTGAGAGGATCTTGTTAGGATGATTCCTGCTTGTTTTTCCTCTCACTCTTCCCAGATTTCTACACTCTTTTTGTTATCCTAATGTGCTTCATTCTTCCTAAATAAGCAAACCAACTGAGTCCTCTGAGTTCTCTTGTACTGCCATGGTCTTATAATTTATGTACTTCTAATTTTATGTGTAATATTGATACCACACATTGCTGTCATATAAGAGTGTTGGTACCATTATTTTATGGTACATTTCCTCTTTTGTGCTCAGGATAGTTTGCACAGATGGCTCAACACCACTTTTGTGCCTCCAGGGATAGTTTACACAGATGGCTCAACACCACTTTTGTGCCTCCAGGGATAGTTTGCACAGATGGCTCAACACCACTTTTGTGGCTCCAGGGATAGTTTGCACAGATGGCTCAACACCACTTTGTGTGGCTCAGGATGTTTGCACAGATGCTCACAACTTTTGTGCCTCCAGGGATAGTTTGCACAATGGTCATCACAACAATTTTGTTGCTCATGTTAGTTTGCACTAGTTGGTCAACACACTTTTGTGCCTCAGGATTGTTTAAACAAGATGGCTACACACCCAACCATTATGTTGTACGGTTCACATGTCTGCAGACACTGTGTAATGCCACATCTATACATTCCATTTATTTCAACACATTCACTTTACAATTAATACAATTTTCATTGTTTTATCACACTTGCTCTTTCTGTGTCCTTTATAATTTCCTCTTGTACTAACCTCCACAAATTTGTCTCAGCAACCTTTGCAATTTTATAGAATTCTTACAGGAATGCCATCAGAAAAGAACCTACGTGATAACTGACCACATTCTTGCCAAACTCAGTTGTTCACTTCAGCCAACAACCCATTCAATTAAAAATATTAGGCCATGGTGATATCACTTCATCATGTCTTAGCCTAGTTTATTGGAAAAATATTGGGCCTCTATGTACACCTAACTGAGGCTAACTATCCTCACAAATTTTTACTGCATTTTAATAACTATCCCATATTTACAAATAACTTCCCATCCATCATTTACCCTTAATCATGTCCAAACATAGTCTGTTACTGCTATGCTCAGAGTAAGTTCAAAAAGTTTTATTTTGCCTGCCTCCAATTTGGCATGTTGGCCTGAGATGCAAATGCGTCAGCATAGAATGATGTCTTACATTAGTGGTGGCAGTATTAAAAGTACTGGGGCACCTTAGTACCTTGTGGGTAGCACCCATTCAGTTGAGTGCAGCTAGAACAAACAGTGGGCAAACACCAGGGATTCACTGATGTCATGTTATATTAACACCTCCCTTTTAAGAGGAAAGTGATGTTGACCCCAAGTTTACTGGCTTTAAGGTGGATGTGGCCACAAGTGGTTGAGGAAATATCAAAAACCTTGTTAATAACCCATGTGCAACATCCTTTCAATTTTGGTACCACTGGTAGTGTCATCCTTCCAGAATGACCTATATAACCTATACCCTCAGTAAAGAGAAACAATTCTGGAATGTGTAATACATGTTTGGCAGGCTGGCTGGCCGGCAGCTGGCTGGCTGGCTGATTGGTTGTCTCTGTCTCCGTCTGTCTGTCTGTATCTGTCTATCTCTGTCTCTCTCATAGGTAGACGTAAATACAGTTACACATAGTGTAAATTACCTAGGATAACCCAAAAAATCCAGACAAAGTAGATATAATGCATAATAAGCATGACTGGCAAGAATCAGACATGACGACTCTGCATCGTAATATTTGTTTGTTCATGAGTCACTCTCTGAGACACAGACCAGCAGACAGAAGGACAGATAAGCAGAGACAGAGATAAACAGAAAGCTAGACAGAGACAGACAGACATGTTTGTGTAACAGTGAAAACAAATGAAGACAAGGTGGTGTATGATCATTGAATGTCACTCCACTGTTTCAGTGTCAGCAGTGGAGTGACACTCCTCTTACACCATGCATCAAGGAGTTTCATGTGTACTCCCATGTGTCCAAAACATTGCTGACACTTGTAAATACTATGTATATATTTTTAGACAGTGTGTGACTAAGGTAGGTGAAAATGTTCACTGTCAATGTGTTTGTGACTGAGTAATATTTCAGTACCTAATATTAATGTCAGAACAAAGATTGGTTATGAAATCACAGGAACTACTACAAGTTGTAATTATCAGAACATAAAGATTATAAAAATTAAAAAGAAAATGAGGAAAAAAGGTATATCAGCAACACTAATGCGAGCGGCAGCACTCCGTGTTGCCGTCAGGTGAGTGACAAGCTCCAACTTTGCAGATTATATCTCCTTAAGTACTGACTAAAAAAAAAAAAAAATTTTTTATGGGTGAGAGAATGTAGATCTACGTTTGGACAGTTAAGTGGTTAATAACCTATCCCATCCATTCACTTAACCTATCACATCCATTCACTTAATACACTTGGTGCTACATACACTTGGTGTTACACTTGTTGCTACATACACTTGTTGCTACATACACTTGCTGCTACATACACTTGCTGCTACATACACTTGCTGCTATACTCAACATACACTTTTACTGATAATTCTTACACTCTTGTTTTTTTTTTTCTTATACAGATGTTTGATTGTCAGTCATCAGTTATTGGACAATTATATTTATTATCAATGTTCAGCAGTATGTGTAGTAATTAACTAGTTATTGGACAGTTATATTTATTATCAATGTTCAGCAGTATGTGTAGTAATTAACTAGTTATTGGACAGTTACATTTATTATCAATGTTCAGCAGTATGTGTAGTAATTAACTAGTTATTGGACAGTTACATTTATTATCAATGTTCAGCAGTATGTATAGTAATTAATTAGTTTGCACAGATGAGTGGTCAGGAAGCTCCCAAGTTGAAGTACCTAGCGCAGTGGTTAATGGAACACCCTAACTATGATGTGGATCCTCAGTGGGCAGACGTTGTGAAGGAGCGCGCTACTGCCTCAGGGTTCCTCGCTGACCTTAAGAAACTCGCCAGTGCCGAAAAGAAGCACAGTTCCAGTCGCACCTCTCTCCTTTCCTCGGTGTCTAACTATCTGCAGGGCAGCACGTCCTCTGGCAGCAGCAGCACTACATCGCCGCAGTCCTTGATCTCCGGCTCCAACACCACCACCACTACATCTACCTCGGCTGCTGCAGGAAGTGCTTGTGCCTACCCTCTCTCATACCATTCCTCAAAAAGTTTACCATTTGATGCCAAAAGCTTTCTTCAGGGGCTGGACCCTAAAAACTCTCTCAACACTGCCGCTTTTGCTGGATTGGATCCGAAACTCTTGGGATTCGATCCTAAACTGCTAGGAAGCCTCGATCCAAAAGCTCTTGGTCTAGACCCTAAGCTGCTGCCTCCACTAGACTCTAAGTTACTAGCAGCTATGGGTCTAGATCTTAAACTTTTGGGATTGGACACCAAGCATCACGAGGCCGCCAAACACCATGAAAAAGAGACCAAACCCTCGTCGTCTCGAAGCTCAGACTCAAAATCCTCTTTACTTAATATTGATCCAAAGTTATTAGGCTTTGATCCCAAGTTGTTAGGCTTAGATCAGAAAACTCTAGCGTCCCTTGATCCAAAATTACTTGCAAGTCTAAGTGGATTAGATGCTAAGGCAATGGCAGGTCTGGATACTAAGGTGCTCTCAGGACTTGATTCAAAACTATTGGCCAGCCTTGATGCAAAAACTCTAGCCGGACTAGATTCTAAATCCATAGGAGGTATAGATTCAAAATTGTTAGCTGGCATCGATCCTAAATTGTTAGCTGGCCTTGATCCTAAGCTTTTAGGTGGGCTTGACCTTAAATCACTAGGAGGGTTAGATGCAAAGTTATTATCCAGCTTAGACACCAAGTTGTTAGGAGGATTGGATCCTAAGTTACTAGGTGCTATAGACCCTAAACTGTTAGGTGGATTAGATCCCAAATTGTTAGGTTTAGATCCCAAGTTATTAGGCGGAATTGATCCAAAGCTGTTAACGGGATTGGACCCGAAATTGTTAGCAGGGTTGGATCCCAAGATGATGTGTCTGGATCCCAAGATGCTTGGTTTGGATCCCAAAATGTTTGGCGGTATTGATCCCAAACTGTTGGCGAGCTTGGATCCGAAGCTCCTAGGAGGATTGGATCCCAAGGCTCTTGGTGGTCTGGACTCTAAGTTGTTGGCCAGTATGGGTTTGGATCCTAGCATGATGATGATGGCTGGCTTTGGTGGCTTGCCAGGTATGGCTGGACTAGCGATGGCAAATCCTCTGTTGGGTGGCTTGGCTGGGTATGGGTTACCTGGCTTGGCAAACCTCAGTGACTTCCCTTCCACTTCCAAGAGCAAGGATCATAGAAATGCAGCCGCCACTTCGGCAGCTAATTTGTCGTTCCCGGGGATGTTTGGCGGCGCCAGCACTGCCGGGCTGATGTACCCACCTTTAGGACTGGGTGGTTTAGGTTCCTTCCAGTTACCCTCCATGTCGTCGGCTGTATCAAGTGCCATCCTTAACGGCCTTCCTGCTAGCATAATGTCCATGGCTGGCACCTCGCGGCATGTCAACCAAGCGGCAACCACCACCATCAGCAGTGGCAGCAGCAAGTGGAAACAAGATCAACGAAGATCTCGGGAGTTCAGGGAAGACAGTCGTAGCAGGATGGAGAGATTGGATCCCTCGGAGGATATTGAGCGAGGACTGAGCGTACGCAAGGAAAAGTTAAAGGAACAGTCTGGACTCTCAAAGGAAGAGCGGTATCTGTTAAAACAAATGAAAGCAGAGCGGTTAGCCCGGGAGATAGAAGCTCGGGGAAGTCATGACCCGTATGCCGCTCACTTAGATTTGTCGTTACATTGGAACCAAGAGAGTCATCACAGTGAGAGGACACAAGATGCCCCAGAGAACTTGAGTCGTGAGTCTGAACCTGCCAAAAATGTACAAGGAGCGGACGCTCAAAATTTGAGCACACGGGAAGTTGAAAATGGTGAAAATAGTAACACGAACTCTGACGTGGAGGAGGAGGAGGAGGAGGAGGAGAAGTCTTAGTGCAGTGGTCTTGTCTGGGATAACTATATTTATAACTTAAAACAACCGTGAAAGTATCATTCGTATACTTTTAGTATATGTAAAACTCAAGACTATATTTTAGTTGAAAGGAATGAGTGAGATTGCATGTATGCAGTGTATAGGAGAAGTATGAATGTCACGTACTACAAGTCCCTGAACCGTCTACCCATGCTACCCACTCTTCATATATCCCACACATGAAATATTCACTTTGACATTAACTGTGATACTGACCTCATTATTTATTCCATATTTTGTGCGAAAATATTATATCAGCTGTCTGACGGGAACACACTTACCATGTACTCTTTAAAGAAGTGTAAAAGTGTATTATCTCTTAAGTGTATGCCAGATGACACAAGCTATGTTTTTGCTAATATAAAAACTTATTGCCTGGAATTGTGAAATGCAAGAGTTGGTTATATATAGGAGGCCTTCCAGTTATATCCAGGAGGCCCTCCAGTTATATCCAGGAGGCCTTCCAGTTATATCCAGGAGGCCCTCCAGTTATATCCAGGAGACCCTCCAGTTATATCCAGGAGGCCCTCCAGTTATATCCAGGAGGCCCTCCAGTTATATCCAGGAGGCCTTCCAGTTATATCCAGGAGGCATTCCAGTTATATCCAGGAGGCATTCCAGTTATATCCTGGAGGCCTTCCAGTTATATCTAGGAGGCCCTCCAGTTATATCTAGGAGGCCCTCCAGTTATATCTAGGAGGCCTTCCAGTTATATCTAGGAGGCCTTCCAATTATATCTAGGAGGCCCTCCAGTTATATCTAGGAGGCCCCCAGTTATATCTAGGAGACCCCCAGTTATATCTAGGAGGCCCCTAGTTATATCCAGGAGGCCCTCCAGTTATATCCAGGAGGCCCTCAAGTTACAAGAAGCACTTGCAAGCTGATCATTTAATAAGCAGTAAGTGTGTGAGGTGACAAGTTGCTGTGCCAACACTTGTAGTCATTCCTTGTACTCTTGTTGTCTATGCAAACAACTTGTTTGTAAGTTGTAACACTAGGAATGTTGTTTGTAAGTTGAAACATCAGGAATATTAGTTGGAAAACTAAGAATGTTGTTTGTAAGTTGAAACATCAGGAATATTAGTTGGAAAACTAAGAATGTTGCTTGTTTGTAAGTTGAAACATAACTTGGAAGACTAAGAATATCACTTGTTTGTAAGTTAAAACATAATGGCACTAGTTTGTAACTTGGGGACTGACCCCCCCCTACTCCTTCCTGTATACCTCTGGATGCGAGTGTTTCCTCGGTGGTGTGAGGCTGCCGCCGCCGTTGTGGTGGTCTGTGTATCTGGTGAGGCTTGTGTAACCATCCTAGAACTGCTTTCTATTGTATTCTTACAAGTTGACACATACACACATTGAACCTCTCAAAAGTGCTTTAGCAGTCAAGTACAAGAGTGTGGAGATCTTAACTTTTTTACTTACAAAAAAGTGTGAGATCTTTAACTGGAATCCCATGTCTGTGTATATATTATTATTAAGATGAAATATAAGTATAAGAAAAGTTTTGTAAAAGTTCATTGTAAACTAAAGTTCACTAATATTAAAGGGAACTTGGTGAGTTGTACTCTATGATCCTTCTACTTGTACTCTAATGAATGATGATCCTTCCACTTGTACTCTAATGAATGATGATCCTTCCACTTGTACTCTAATGAATGATGATCCTTCCACTTGTACTCTGATGATTCTTCCACTTCTTTCCCATTGAGGCAAGGTGACCCTTAAAAAAGAAACACTTTCATCATCACTGTCTTGTCAGAGGCATGCTGATACTACACTTTAAAAACTGCAACATGTCAGCACCCATCTTTCAGAGTGCAGGCACTGTGCTTCCCACCTCCACCTCTTCAAGGGGGGCTCCTTGGCGTGGTGAAGAGGCTCTTGGTCTGAGGAATTAGACCTCTTCAAGGGGGGCTCCTTGGCGTGGTGAAGAGGCTCTTGGTCTGAGGAATTAGACCTATCGGTCTTCTTCCTCAGACCGAACCTAATTACCCCCCAATCTCCCCTCCCCTATCCCATCCTCCCCATCCTCCCCTTTTTCCCTTCCTCCTCCTCCTCCCCACTCCTCCCTTTTGCCCTTCCTCTTTTTGTCCTTTGGGATTTCTCCCACAGGCCACACTAGGTTCCTAGGTAGAGGAAAGGACACCGGGGTCGATCCTCATTTCCGTAGAGGTTTCTTGGCGGTGGCGTAAGGTTTTTGCCTGTGAATCTGGATGCCTAGGGATGTCCCGATCCCCGACCCTCTCCCGTATCCCAGTAGCTATGGGGTGGTCCTTTTTTGGGGCTACGGTGTAATCTCTGAAAGCACCTTTTCGATTCCGGGGTGGTGCTGAAGGAGGATGCTTTGTGGCGGATATTCGGGGCGGCCGCACCTCTCTTTTGTCCACCGAGAGGTAGCTCGGCAGATTGTTAGGGTTTGCTATCCAGATTGCTGGATTACTGGCATGAAGGGTTAGGGTATGGCAACGGGTTCCATGCTGCATCTGCGCTACTAGCGTTGCGAGTCCTCTTGGCCGCGGAGGGAGAATTTCCTGGCCCTTTCATTCCTCCCAGGAACTACCCTCCCCGTTCCCCCCTTTTTTTTTTTCTATTTTTTATTTTATTTTCTTTTCTTCTTTCTTTTTTTTTTCCTTAAAAACAAAAAGAAAGAAGTAACCTAACCATGCAGGCCCTAGTCCATGACCTGGTTACCCCCGGGCCCCCTTTTGATACCGAACCCCTTCTGACCCCCGCCTACGTCTTTGGACCACTCTTCAGACATTCCTCATGCCTCTGTCTCTAACATATTGCCGTGCTGTTCCACACCTGCTATCAGTACTGAGGCCTCGACTGACTCCATCGGATTTATCAGACCTTCGCTCTCCTCGACTATGCTTCCGGCCTCTTCCTCTACGGTTGCGGCAATTTTCAATCGCCGACACCGTTCCGTCCACGTCGGAAACCAAAACTCTGGTCCCACGCCTAAACGTCAACGACAATTAACCAGCTGATGATACTTCTCCACCTTCACCTTCTCGTTCTTCTCAGAAAGATCGACGACTCCTTTCACTACCTTTTCCCACGCTCTAGTTTCAGACTGAGAACAGTGGACCAAAATTCTTCACTTTATTACGACCAACTCCTCTAACTGCCTATCTTTCTGACATGGTAATGATCTGGCAAAGGGCACTCCTACTCCATGTTTGGAAAAGATATTTCTTTTCCTGCTCTAAGGAGCGGTAACGCGCATCATTACCGTACAGAATGCTACCCCAGCTCGGAGCTTCTCTCGTCTTACCCATATAGATACTGTTCCTGTCACCCTTGAAAAACATCATTCCCTCAATTCTTTTGTAGTGGTACCGGTATTCCTGCCCCATACCATAGTCCAACAAAATTTCCCAGACATGTGCAACCGACATTCTAGAACAGCTAGAACTCCAAGACCTCCCATCCTCAGGTAGACACTACGTTCTTTCCTGCCCTTGGGCGGAGACGATACCCTAGCAATGTGGCTCGTTTAACTTTTGACAGCCGAAACTCCCATCCTCATTTATATATCAGGACATCGTTAACAAGTTCGAAAGGTGATCCCTACACCCACAACAGTGTAGAAATTATCTTGGCGATTTGGCCATCCAGGCGAAATAATTGCAGACTAACCGCCGAATGCCCAGTCTGTGGTGCCGATGACCATTCTAATACGTCTTGCAATCGATCTCCCTTCTTGGCCTTAACTGGTCATGAGGCTCACCCTTCGTACTCTCGGCCCGTTGTCCAGGGTCTATTTAACACGAGCGGGAAATCCGTTACCTCAAAAGAGACAGAGGTTCTCCCTTAATGCCATGGCAATTTCTCATCTCGCCTCCAGAGGGAGACTCCCCACGTGTTTCTTATCCCCGGGTTTCAAATACGTTCCCCCCCACTTCTGGTATCCCATCTTACTACACCCACCCTCTGTTGGTTTACCTCTCCCATAATCACTCCGTATCAAATCCTTTTGCTGTCGCTTCGGCTCAGACGTCCCTACTTTCAAACCCTCAGTCTAATCTCGCTTCTTCGAGTTCTACTTAACAAAGCCTCAGTATCGACGAGAACCATCGTACACACCTCATTCCCAATCCGTACCCTCTACTCTCAAAAGTCAAAAAAAAGGTCCGGTAACACCATCGCTACCCATCTTCCCCACTCCCCTCATTTTAACCCTCCACTGTCTCTGTCCCTAGTTCTTCCCCTCTCACTAGGCTCAGACTTAAAAGTGCTGAGGTTCACACCTCCTCCTCGTAATGTACCTCATCCTCCCCCTGTTCCTCCCAAGTTTTCTTCTTCCTCTTCTCCACCTCCCAGGTTCCTGTCTCTTCAGCTGTCCCCTGCCCAACGCTTCTCAGTTCCCTCCACCCCTTATTGTCCCCCCCCAACCTTGTACAGTCCGAATACAGTTCCAATCTTTACTCATCCTTCCGATCCTCGACTCCCCCTACCATTTCCCAATATTGTACTCCTATCCCATACACATCTCTGAAGTCCAACACTTGAAGCACTCTCTGAATAATTGCAGAGACCAAACCATCAATAGGACACTGATCCACCTTCCGCTCTTACTCTCTCCTCTGCTTCCATCTGCGCAACTCCTTTCTTCCACAGGCGAGCACCGTTCCTTCGCTGCTGAACATTTTCCACTGGCCTCCGCATGTGGACCTTTTCTAACCCTCCTAGTCCGTAGGAACCCTTAACCATGGCGGATTTACAAGTATCTTTATCATTGCCAATCATGGAGCCTTTTTACAGTGGAATAGACGTGCCTCAGGGGAAACGGAGGTGAAGCTTCAATGTTACTCTCCATATGCTCCCGTTGGTGTTTGCATACAGGAACCAAAATTACACTCTGTCTGCTGTTATTTCTCACATCTCAGGCTATAATTTATTGTATTCCTTCAGATCCTTTTTCCTGATGGACCTTTAATGGAAGTGCCCCTTCTTCTCCGACTGATATTCCGACCACCAGCTATTTGTTCATACTTCGCTGCATTACACAGCACCCGTATCCACTTACTAGGTGTATACGCTTCTGTCTTTCTAGTTTATCTCTCTCCTTCTCTGCATTACTATTCCGGATTTGCCTTCCTTGTTTCGTCATAACCAAACCGCCACCGATTCTGTTACATGGTGATTTTAAATGCCCACCATTTCCTCTGGGAGGACACACTGGTGATTCCCCGAGGAATTCAGTTAGATGCTTTCTCTTGCCACGCCACACCCCCTCCATGTTTAAAATATACAGGTACACACACCAATTTGATCCTCAGGACTCATATCTCCTCCTTGCAATCGATATCTCCAGTTTTTCTCTTCCTCCACCGCATTAGACTTACTTGTCTGTCTCCCGGACTTACATGACAGTGATCATTCCCAATCATTCTTACTGTCCCCCCTTCATATATTCCTCACCCTTCTCCACCCTCTTCTCACCCCACGTCTGGGCATATTTAATCGGCAAATAGGAACCTCTACTCATCACCTGACTGTTTTTAAATAGGTTCCTTTCTTCGTCCTCCATGATGAGCCTTTTACACCTCTTCACAGTCCTCCCGTTTTCACTGCAGCTTCTCATCTATAACCGCCCAAACTTTCGGGCAGGGGCATTCTCAGAAATGCGTGCCTTGGGTGGTCACCTGCTTGTGCTCGAGCAGTACGTTTGAAACGCGCCTGCATGGGGCAGTTACCGGTACAATAGAACCCCAAGCGAACTCCTGATTTTAAACAGAAGCGTTGCTGACCCGCTCTCCTGCCGTGTCATCCGTGACGCTAACGCACTTGCCCTGGCGAGATTAATGTCCTCCACCATCACCTCTGCTTTCTCTATGGTTGGCAGTCCTGGAAAAAGTACGAAAACTGAGTGGTAAATTATTCTCCTGAACCGGCTCCTGTTCTGCGTTTCCGAGTGTTGATATAGCAAAACCCACTAATGTTGCCAATGAAATTTGGGCAATCAACCTGGTCCGTATTTCTCAGGGACTCCATCTATGCCCCACATTTCTTTCCTCAAAGTCTGCCATATGAGTTGCACCCATTGGACTTTTCTTCTCCCAGAGAAGAACAGTAAATAATTGGCCTTTTATTACACTTCAAGAACTGAGGCAACACTCTCAGCTTTGTCGATCAGGCAGCGGGGGCCCGACACATTCATATTCGTTGCTACAACATTTACATCAGTCAGCCCTTCTTTGCAGTCCTATTTACGCCTTTACAATCTTATTGGTCACAAGGAAAGTTCTTCACACAGGCCCTGTGGAAATCTGCCATTGTTCTCCTTTTTCCCGCAAACCAGCACTACGGTACATGAAACTCCCACTATCGTCCCATTTGCTCATACCAGTGCCAGTTGCAAAGTAATGGAACGTCTATAAATAGACGTTTAGTGTGGTATTTAGAGACACACAACAGTCTCTTCCACTCGTCAAAATGGCTTTCGTAAGGGGACTTCCTTACATGACGCCCTTTACTGCGCTTGATACGTATTTACGTAATGCTTGGCGAAACCACTCAGTTATTGCCATATTTTTTTGACCTTGAAAGGCA